ATTTAGAGCACTTTCTTTTCCTCTCTTTTGTACAATGACTATTACACATTTTGGGGTTTATTGCTCCCACGATTCTTATTACTTTTTTGGAAGAGAGTAAAACCAAATGTGACATAACAGAACAGAGTCAGTCAAATCAAAAGGATGGACATAATAGATAATGTAAAAACATAATATAAGGCTACCTAGTTTTAAGTGGAGCCTTATAAGAGACTTTTGTCTGTATAATTGACTTCTACTTGCATCTACATCCTCTCTGCTATGTCAGAATTGGTCCAGTCTCCTTGCCACAAACCAAACATGGTTCTCATAGTTTTGGATGCCTTATGATCCTTATGGTCTGTACTCCAAAATTTGCTTAACATTGCTAGTCTCTGCTCCTCTTTTTTTAACGAAACCTATTTTTCCATCAATATCCTTCCTGGTTTGAGAGATTTTTGTTTGTCTTCGTGGATATGTATTTTCAAAAAACCAAGTATATTGTGAGCTAATATATGATTTTATTTGAAAAACTGACAAAACACAGTATACAAAATTCAGTTTTAAAAATTCAGAAACCACATTTTTCTCAATTATATTTGTAAAATTTGGCTTCTAATAATCCCCCAGCACTTTCAAGGTATTGAGTACCTTCATCCAATTAAAAAGCATATTATGATCTTATAATTTTCCCTGTATAGGCCTTTCACTTCTTTTGTGAGATTAATTCCTAAGTATTTCATTTTTTTGGATCTAATGTGAAGGGTGTGGCTTCTCTTATTTCTCTCTCAGTGCTTTTTTTGTTATTGTATAGGAATGCTATTGATTTTTGAGTATTGAATTGTATCCAGCTACATTGATGAATTTACTTATTATGTCTAGGAGGCTTTCAATGGAGTCTGGGGGTTTTCTATGTAGAGGATCGTGTCATCTGCAAATAATGATAATTTAATATCTTTACCCCTTTTATTTATCTGTATTGTCTAATTGTTCTGGCTAGTATTTCCAGTACTATATTGAATAGGAGTGGTGATAAGGGACATCCTTGTCTTGTGCCTGATTTAAAGGTAGAAGCTTTCAATTTTGGGCCACTTAGTATGATACTGGCTGTTGGTTTGTTATAGATGCCCTTTACTGTATTGAGGTAAGACCATCTATTCATATTTTGTGTAAGGTTCTTATCATAGAGGATCTCACAAAATGGAAAGACATCCCTTGCTCATGGATAGAAAGAATAAATAATGTGGAAATGGCCATTCTCCCAAAACTGTTATACAGATTCAATGCAATCCCAATAAAAACACCATCAACATACCTCATATATCTATAGAAATCACTCCTAAAATTCATCTGGCACCAGAAGAGACCTAGAATAGCAAAGGCAATTCTAAACAGCAAAGGGAAGGCAGGAGGCACCAAAATCCCTGGCTTGAAGTTACACTACAAAGGTACTGTAATAAAATCAACATGGTACTGGAATAAAAACAGAGCTGAAGAACAATGGAATAGATTAAAAGATACAACGAGAACTACAAACACACTCAACCACCTTATCTTTGATAAAAAGGGCCAATTATGTTCACTAGAAGAACAACAGTCTCTTTAATAAATGATGTTGAAAAAAAATGGCTCTCATATGCCAAAAACTAAAATTGGACCCATGTCTATCACCATGTACTAAATTAAAATCTAAATGGATCAAAGATCTGAATATTAAAACAAAACACTAAATCTATTGGAAGACATAGGGGTAGGTAGAGAATTCATGAACAGGACTCAAACCGCACGGGAAATACTCCCCAGAATCAGTAACTGGGATCACATCTTATTAAAAAGTTTCTGCAAGTCAAAAGAAATCTCCAGCATAGTAAAAAGAAAACCCACAAACTGGGAAAAAAATCTTAGTGAACTGTCCGTAAGACAAAATGCTTCTGTCTAAAACATATAAAGAATTTTTTAAAAAAAATCAGACCACCAAAATTCAAAGATCCAATCCTAAAATGGGCATCTGAATTGAATACATAATTCTCAGATGAAGAAATAAAGACGACAAATAAATACATGAAAAATGTTCATCATCACTAGTCATTAGAGAAATGCAAATTAAAACCTTACTGAGATTCCATCTCACTCCTGAAAGAAAGGCCAGGATCAAGAAAACTACCAACAACAAATGCTGGAGAGGCTGTGGGGAAAAGGAACTCTCCTGCACTGTTGGTGGGAGTGTAGACTGGTGCAACCATTGTGGAGGTCAGTCTGGAAATTTCTCAAAAAGCTGGGATTGGAAGTCTCATTTATTAATGCTATTCCACATCTAGACATATTCCCAGAAGAACTAAAAATATCATACCACAGTTATATATGTGCACCCATGTTTATAGCAGCACAATTTGTAATAGCCAGATCTTGGAAACAATCTAATTGTCTATCAACTGAGGAATAGATAAAAAAAGTGGTGGTATTTTTATACAATGGAATACTACTCAGTTGTAAATAAGGGTCACATTGAGAAATTTATAAATAAATGGACGCAGGTTGAGATCATACTCATAAGCAAAATAAATCAAACTCACATGTATAAATACCGTATAGTCTCCCGAGTGTAACAAATGGTAAGAATACATAAAAGTATGTGATAACAGTGATTCCCCATTATATTGCTTTGAAGCCTTATAATGTTTTCATTCATTAGTTAAAATGGTTTTATTCTGAGTTGTTTGATTTTATTGTCTGTGATGGCATGCACAGCTTTTGAAGAACAGAAAACATTGTAATAGCTAGTGCTGATTTAATACCATCTTGTTTTGAAGTCCTACCAAGGTTTTTTTTTCTGTCTCCATCAGATTTATCATGTTATATCTTATTGGATTTTATTATATGTGATAGTATAAACAACATTTTTTATGGGCAAAGAGACTGAATGGTTTTATACTATCTCTTTATGTTTGTTACTAGAATGTATGAAGGTATACTCATATTTCAAGAGAAGAGACATTATGGTAGCTACTGTTAGGTTGGGTTGTCTTGTGGTGAAACACTATGTTGCTTAAATTGTTCTGTTTTGATGTGTTTTGTTATGTCCTCTTTTATCTTAATCTTTTTAAAATAAAAAGTGAAAAAAGCTTGTTATGCTCAAGATATCAAGTTATTCTAAGTTAGATATGAGATTCTTGATAACATTATTAGAAAATGCACATCTAGTGTTGTTACTTATTAGTAAAAAAATTGTTTACCATTTCTTAAAATTGGGACTTTTGTTTTATGTTTTACCACTACATTATATATAGTAAAGTTGCTTTTAAAAATTTTATAACTTTTTTGTGTTTTTTGTGATTTTCTTTTTCCCCTACAAATTTGGAGGGAAAAAAACAGCTATTTTTGGAGAATTCAACAGGATATCTTGCAGTTAACTTTGTCAAAGCATGTGTGTGGCTGGATTCTCCAACACCAGCACACAGGGACAGATATGCTCTCTGCTTGCCCATATTTTCTTTTTGTGAGTCATTCAAGTAGGGACAGCACTTATCATTGACAAGACTTTCTGGATGTAGGGAGAGTCAGACTTCCCTGTCTTCAGTCTTAAACTTATCAGGGAAGTCTTTTCCCTGGGAACCAGGTATTTTGTAGATTTCCTGTCAAGAAGTGAAATTCAAAGTTGTATGTAATACAAAGAACAGATGAGAAGAGCCCCGTCACTCAAAAACTGTGAGCCCCAATATGTAACATTTTGGGAAAATACTACTTGATTTCAAAACTGAAAGTTCTCACATTTATTTTTATTTAGTTCTTTTTTATTATTTCTATATGACATTACCTTTCAGAAATAATGTTTTCCCTGCTGGAAAAGAAATTCTGTACAATCTGAGGTAAAATCAGTCTGATCAAACAGTGTATGCTCTAGCACCTAGCTCAGATTTATTGATATATATATATATATATATATATATATATATATATATACACACACACACATCTGTATCTGTGACTGGTAAATGTGGGCTTTATAGATACCTGATTGATGAAAAAGCTAGCAATGATTTAGTAAGATGAGATTGTAGGCTTTTAAGCAGAAAAGAAGATATTAAAGAGAATATACCAAAAGAAATAAATACCAAAAGAAATAAAAGAAAGATAGTAAAAGAGTAAAAAAAGCAAAGGAAGCAACATTGTAAGATAGAACGAATGCTCTAGTAAGCAGATCTGAACCAAAAGTGTTGGTATTACCTGCTTCTAGTTTTGTGACAAAGACCATACATTCATTCAAACCTTTATCTCTGCTGCATGTTGAGTATATTAGTACCAGCCTCACAAGAATGTTACAAAAGTCATAAAATATACTCACTTATTGCTGTGTGTCCTATGAGTAGTTACTCCAAAAATATTAGCCATTATTACTGTTTATTCCTTAGTATGATTTCTGAGCAAAGAAATGAAGAAATAAGAAAAACACTTTCAGAGATTTATTTCAACTCTACTTAAATCAGATATTTCTAATTCGAATTATCCAAAATGAGAAGGTGTCATTCTTAAGTAGTACACAAAATGTATATGCAAAGAAAAGAAGTGTATGTGACAGCGTTGTTGAACACTCTGGCTTATCTTTATACTGTACTTCCATATGCCCAGAATGTTTACATTTTATATGTCCACTCCAGGACAATATCTGTGGTCTTTTTTATTTGTGTGTTTATTTCTCCTCCTACCATGATCTGTATGATAATTTAAGTCTTTACTTTTTTCACCTTTATAAGATCAGCATTCACAAAGTTGGATTAATAAGATAATATAGATTATAGATCTCTGAAACTTTCTAATAAAAAGCAATTCAAAGGGATTTGAACTAATGATGTATTTTTTTTTGAACTTGAAATATATTTTTCCATTCTGTGCCATTAGCAGATTATTAATTAGATAAATTAAATATCCCTGAAAATAGTTGTAACTTTTAAAAAGCACAATTATAAAAGTGAGCCATTGGAAGCCACTGCACATTGTTTAACTGGTAATATTTTGCATTTCAGTTTGGAAAGCAGCACATAGAGAACCTCTTCAGTGACCTGCAGGATGGGAGACGCCTCCTGGACCTCCTTGAAGGCCTAACAGGGCAAAAACTGGTAGGAAGTTATTTTGCAGATATTTTATATTAACCTTACTAGAAATTCAGTCCAGATTCAAAGGTTTAGTTTTACCCAATATAATAAAATTGAATAATTTACATGTACTGATTCAAATGACAATAGGGAATTTACTTGTAAATAAAATAATCTCATGGTATAATTTCACTTTCGCATAGTCTATCACATGCAAAACAAAGTAAAATTTTAGTAAGATAATTTATGTAAAATAATAGTCATTACTAACTTTTACATATATGTTACCTTATCAAATGTCATTATGAAGGCTTTTTTGGATTATATCTTTGTGCTTCTGTGGTTTTTGAGATTATTTTATAATGAACCAGTATTAGGTTTTACAAGGAGAAACAACTGATTTGGAAAATTGCAATAAAGTACTGTATAGGCATACACAGCCACATATGTAATGAGAATGTGACATTTTTTAAAACTGCTATCTTATCTAACTTCTGAACATACCTGTGAGATAGATATGATTTTCATTTTATTTTTTAGATACAATTTTTATACAAAGTTTAAAGGATAGGGAAGTCATGGATAAATCTTAGTTCCCCTGATAGAGTTCTCCTAAATGTGAGGAATGATTTTATATCCAAATTTCTTGATTTTAAGAGTCTTATTCTTAGATTGCTATGGTTTTCCTAAATATAGCTAATCAGACATTGCACATATAAAATGAATCCTGATAATTTAGTATTTTGATTCTTTCTCTTTGCTACAACTTCATGTGAAAACACACACAGACATACATGCCGCACAACTTTATAGATAAAATACAAACTCTAGCTGTCATTGAAAGGGAAAGCCATAAAAAGTCTTATCTCTGATACCTTACCTTCTAGAATTTACTTATGCTAGGTGAGATTGGTCTTTGTTTTATCAGATATGTCTGGAATTTTACCTATGTTATATTTATTTGCCTATTTTTTTTTTTTCATTCGCGGAATAGAACTCAGGACCTTGACCTTGCCAGGAGGCACTCATGTTGTCTGAGCTAAAACCACATCCTTTGTCTTGCTTTCTGAACTTCTGTCTATTCTAGCAGTGCTTCAGATCCTTTGGTTTTTGCCTCTCTGTGAAGTCTTTCTCAGATTCTCTATGCTAATTTCTCTTTCTTCTGAAATCTCATAAAACTCTTATTTTTGACTATACTGTTATTTTCTGTGTTATATGTATGTATATATATATATCATGACATCCCTTCTCAAGGCATATACTTCATGATTTCAATTTTAAAATGAAGATAGTAATCTGAGCTTAATATATTACTAAATTTAAACTTGATAAGTTTTAAGAAATATAATCTTGTATTGATATGTGAACCACTTGATGATTTCCTGAAATAATCACACTAAGTGAAGTTCTAAAAGTTTACATTTATTGTCTTTGAGTATTTTGCTTTTATTAAATTTAAGGCCATTGTACACACTTAGGCTTAATTCCACTGGGTCGACAAATATTTGCATATTATTCCTATCCTATGAATATGTCAACATTATATATGTACATTTTATGAAATATATATATGTATATATACACACATATGTGTGTATGCCTGTGCATATGCACACTTGCAAACATGTAATTAGATAGATAGAGAATAGATATCAACATATAAGTGTGTACCTAATTTCTGTATCTGGGGTCACACTTTTACTCCAATGTGGAAATAAATAAATCTCAATATTTTTTAAGTGTTTAGATATGTTCTGTTACAACCTCTTTTGACTCTATGCACGAGATTTTAATTTTTCACCTCTATATGTGCACATAATTTCTGCTCTGTGGTGCTCTGCATTCACTTCCTGGATGGAGATGTTTCTATCACCCAAACTAATCCTGATAATATCAATATAGTTCATTTAGATACAATGTTCAAAATACTGAATTTTATCAAGATAGATAAAATGACTTAAGATATTCATTAACATAAGGAAATACACTTAAATACAAATATAGATGCAGGTACAGGTATCGGTATTTCCAGAGATGAAATGAACCTAATAAATATCAGGTACTGAAGAAAAAATGGCAATCAAAATATTCATGTGATTGATAATTATGGGATGAGTAGTTGGAGGAGTAATATCACCAAATATCCTTGCCAGCCAGTACATACTATAAAATCTCCCTTATTGCTGCTAACACAATCTGTGATCCAGTCTTCATCGCAGACACAGTTCTGGCAGCCCTGGTCTGGGGACTTTAACCTTTTCCACCGAGCAGAATATCCTGTGTCATGAATTTCCAACTTCCAGAATCCAATTCACTATGCCTGGTCTTGAATCCCAATATCTTCTACAAAGTTCAATTTTGTGCCTCTAATGGGAATCATGTATACTATTGAGCAGAAATTTTATTATTCTATTTGGAAGCATCTGCATTTGGATTGTTGACTTCGGGCATCCCTAGGGTTAAAAAGAGGCTATTTGCGTTACAACTATAAAATTAAAATAACTCCCCAAATACCATAATGGGAAACATACCAGCTTCCATTTTAGGATGTGACCCTGAAGCTTTTCTTTTTTAGATACTTGTAAAAATATTTTTGTTTTTATTAGTATTTACTTTTGGTGCATAATGATTACATTCTTCAGGGGAAATTTTTATATGTGCGTAACACATCTTAATGCTTTTTATGGACTCTTCTTTTCTCCTCCCTCCTGCCTCCCTTCAGCTTTTCTTAACAGTAGAATTTCTGTGGTACTGATAAATATGTATGTGTGTACATAACTGTGTACATTTATATGTTTGAGTTTGCAGCCAAGAAAATATTATTAAATCTTGTCATAATTCTTGTGCACTTGGCTAAAGGATATTTTTCTTTTGCCCATATACTAACCAAAGATTGGTTTAATTAATCACTTTTTAATGTTAAATTTCTACAATTACCACTATAATTATGTATTGTGAATATATATATATGGATTGTTTATGAAAAATGCTGCTTTTGATATAATGTTTTATCTTTATGTGGCTTTGTGATAGGGTATAGGAAAAAAGTAAATACAAACAATTGGTAATTTGATGATCTAGAGGTAAAAAAAAGAAAGAAAAGAAAATCAGGAGATTAATTTTCATGAGTCTATCCTTAGAGTTGTGAAGTGTTGAAGAACAACATGTGCATACTTTTGATAAAGGGTACAAGGCAAATAATTCAGAGCAATACATGTTTTATTTAATTTTTGAAATTGAACAAGTAATTCAAGGGATAAAGTGTGCTCATTGGTAGAACTACTTGAGAAAGAAAAGACTACCTATAGGAAATATGGAGCAACACTTTAGAAGTAGGAAAACAGCTTTCTTGGTTGATGGATTCACAAGGTAATTAGAGGAAGGAGAAAGGAATACGGAAATTCTCCTTCCATAGGCACAGACCAGAGTTGGATCCTGGGCCCAAAAATTGTTAGTTGTATGGTTTTATATTAACGCTTGACTTCAGGTTCACTGTTTCTATAGTGGGCATTAGGATATTTACTTTGCAAAAGATATTAGAAGTGCTATATACTTACCAATACTTTAAAATTAATAATAAACATTTTATTGCACATATTGTGATAAGAGTTAATCTTAGTGATTTATTCATAATGTCTTAATTAGTTTGCCATTTCTGAGACACAATAATCGACACTAATACTTTGGCTTAGAGTCTGTAGTGTTTTCAGTATAACAGTGTGCTCGCTCAAGGCAAGGTGACATGGCAGAGGAGAAAGAGCTCATGGCTTAATAGTAGGAAGCAGGACACAATCAAGGGAGGAAGGCAGGAGACAGATGGTGCCAGACCACATCCCCAGTGACCCAACCCCTCCATCCAGGCTTCACCTTCCGACATCACATTTAGCTATACATTTATAATGGGTTAATCCAATGATGTGTATTGCATGTCCAGGCTCCACTTACCACCCAAGTGTCCACCTATGAATGCATGAGGCTTTGGGACACATTCAGATATAAACTATAACACGTTAATGTGGGAAATTTGCCCAATAATCACATAGAACTCTGATTTTTATTAACTCCGTTTTAAAAAGTGAGGAAACTCTAATGCACCGAAACAGAATTTTGCCAGTAGTCATATAGCACAAAGGTACCAGAGGGGAGATCTGTAACTCAGGTAGTCCAGCTTTGCAGTTCATCGCTTAACTAAACTATAGACACCCTGACGTTGAAAGAAGAGAACTATAAATAGTGCAAATAGTTTGACTAGTCAGTGGGCTTAGTTCAACAGTGTTGTGGTTAAAAATGTATAGTATGGAAGTAGGGAGGAGCCATGAATGAGAAGCAAGGAAAAGGGAATTAAATTCTGGGTATTAGCTAATGAAGTAATGAAGTGGCTCTTTAAGATGAAAGTTATATAATTAGAAGAAGAGAATAAATACAGTAGGATTCATCACAGTAGGATTTCTAACACTCCACATCAGAACAGATAAGCTAATTTATATGTATAATGAACTACATGGATGTTAGTTTAAAAATTACAAGATGAGATAAGACTTCAGAATGAGAATAAGGGTTAGGGAACCAAAGATGATTAAGGTTTTGAGCTTCAGTGACCAGGACATTTAAGATAATATCTAAATTGTCTCCTTTAGCAGGATTTGGTGTTTTACAGTTTTAGGAGACTTGCATCTCTTTTAAAGTCCCCTAAAATGTGGAGAAGTTTGCTTGCCTACTTATCTCACTGGTAAATGTCCTTACATATTATGCTGATTTTTTCTTTTTTTTTTTGTAACTGATGTTCTTGTAATAAAGCAACACTAGTTATAGAATGATGGGACTATCACCTTAAATAGGCTTTAGGAAGAAAAAAAAAAGTACTTTCATGTCCTAGAAGTGGTTGGTTCATATTACAGAAGCTCTATTCCAACGGAAATTACTCTAAATCCTTTAGAATGCTTATGTAAATGTCTCACAGTCTATCTTCATTTTAATGTAAAATATTTAAACTTAATGGTAGAATTTATAAATTGTTTAGTTTTCAGTAGATTTTTGGTCTCCACTGGGCAGCAAACACTATTTCTTTTGTTTTGCAGCCAAAAGAAAAAGGATCTACACGAGTTCATGCCCTGAACAATGTCAACAAGGCACTGCAGGTCTTGCAGAAAAATAATGTAAGTGGCAACTTAGACAGGGTCTGGATGAGGAGAGGCAGCATGCTTAATGTCTGCCTGAGGATGTTAGCCCCGAATGCAGACAAAGCATTTAAAATTGTGTTCTAAATCAAAGCAGTTCTTATTAAGAGGACATGTTCAAGTTCCTTTCTGTGGGCTTCTGGCTAATGTAATTCAGGAAGCAAATGCAGGCAACGACAGGGCAGGGAAAGCTGTGACCTTGCCCTGAGAGGCCTCTCCATGTTGTTTTCCGATTTGACTCCACACAGCTGTATTTAGTGGTAACATCGTGTCCTTCGTATAGAAGTGTTCTGTGTAACAATCAGAGTTTATTTATTAGAGAGTTATTAATTTTATGCATTCGATATGTTCAAACTCAAGGAATATGAAGTTTGCTTGAATCAAGCTGACAGTTACTAAACACCACATAAAACATGCAAATTGTAGAGAAATATCAGACCCTTAAATCACAGTGAGAGCTGCAGGTTTGTGTTTTTATTTCCATGTTGGATTTAATTCAACTGGTTGAAAATATATCACATATTAGCCAAAGTAAGCACTCATACGTAAATGAGTTACCAGGTTATAAGAGTTCCAATCTCCTCTTAGTGACTTTGAGGTCTCTTGGCTTCAGAACCCAGCAGTCTGCCTTCTTTATTAACTCCCTACAGCCTTTCTAATCGACCAATACATTCACCAGGCACTTTTAGTAATTTCCTAATCACATTACACCTCTCTTTCAAGAATAAATTCAAATACATTGATCACACACCCTTACAATAACCATAATCTGTGATACATTCGTAATAACACACACTCCTCCCAAATGTTGTTCTGTTCATTTGGCTGGGAGAGGCATTCTACAAGATATGGAAGTGGATACTGTAAGCAATTGATTTGTGATCAAACCAATTGAAGTCATTGTCTCTTTGAATGTGTAAAAGTTACTTTATAAGACATTTTTTATTAGATTCTCAAGAATTTATAGTTTTTCTGTGGCCAGAAGAATATAGCCTATTTTCTTCATTATTAATCTGATAGACCACTTAAAAGATTAGTAACAAATAAATTATGGAAATCTTTTATGATGTGTAAGAATTCCAGGCTTTTACAGTATCAGAACAACTTGTTTCATTTCAAAATATAGAAGCAGAATAGGAAACAAAAAATCTGAGAAAATTATTATTTAATTTAATTGATACAATTGCAAGATAATCATCAAGAAAATATATTAGTAAACACTAAAATGTGAGCTACTGAATTTCCTGTTAAAAATCAATTAATGCATGTAGACTATATTTTGATAAATATTTTTTATCTATGTATTAAATTATCACAAAATAGTTTTCTATATATCCTATAATTAATAACATCACAATTTTCAATACAGTCCCAGAAATCATGCTAGCAATAAAATAGACAAACTATACAACAAAATTCTATGTTAACTGCGGCAAAACAGTGTTAGCTAGGAAACAAAAAGCATAATTTGAAAAGAGAACTTCATCAGATTATGAGTTGTTCTTATTTTCTAAACATGAATTTGTTTTAGGAATTGTAACTGTACACTATTGCTTTGTGAACTATCTTATTTATTTATTTAATTAGGAATTTTAATAAAGAGAAGTTTTCATCATATTAGTATACTTTAATTTTAAAACTTCCACTTTAGGGGCTGGGGTTTTAGATCAGCAGCATAAGCGCCTGCCTGGCAAGCACGTGGTTGTGAGTTCAATCCCTGGTAGCAAAAAACAAAAAAAAAAAAAAAAAAAAAACAAAAAACAACAACAATAAAAAACAGCAAAAAACTTCTACTCTATAGTTTTGCTCTTTCAAGAAATATCAGCCTGCTCTTAGCCATTTGACACGGTATTATATCATTTTATATAAGTTGTATTGCCTTATTTGAATATGGATCTACCTTCTATCTGAAACTGATTGTTGCATATGATATAAAGTATGGGTTAAAATGCTGTTTTTTTTGGCTGGGCATCCTGACACATGCCTGTAATCCCAGCACTTGGGAAGCTGAGCCATGGAAATTGTTGCAATTTTGAGGCCAACCTGGACTTCATAGTGAGTTCAGCCCAAACTAAACTGAAATTTGATACCCGATCTCAAAAAATCTGTTTTTTTTCCACATGCAATGTAATTGACACAATATCATTTATATTAAAAACACATTCATTTCCACATTGCTCTTCAGTGCTAAGTGTATCATTAGTATTCATTTATGCATACGTCTTTTCCTGGACTTCAATTCTATTGTCTATAAAAGCAAAATGTTATATCATGTAGATTGTTACAGTTTCATAATAATCCTGGTACGTTGTAGGAAAGTGTCTCTCATGTTATTATTAGAATGTCCCCTCCAAAACGTATACTGAAATTTAATTGCCATTGTAACAGTATTAAGTGGAGAGACCTATTTATAGGTGATTAGATTATGAGGTCTCTACTCCCATGAATGATTTAATGTGGTTCTTTCTGCAATTGACTCCTAATAAAAAGAAGCATTCAGCTCCTTTTTTATTTCTGTCTTTGTACTTGCCCTTCTGCTATGTTATTATGCAAAAATAAAGCCCTTAAACATGCAGATGCTGTATTTTTCTACTTACCAGCTTTCAATTCTGCGAGTCTTATGAATCTCTACAGTTTATAAATTGCCATGTTTATGGTATGTATTCTGTTATAGCAATAGAAAATAGACTAGGACATCTCTAACATTACTGTTCTTCAAGTTTTTCTTGGGTTTTATTAGCCCTATTCTTACTCTGTAAACATGTTTTATTCATTCATCATAAATGCTTTTGGAATATGAGCAATATTAGTTAAAACCCAAGATTACTTTGGAGATAACTGACACATTTACAATGTGAGCACCTCAGTTTTATCTCATGGTTTTGATCTATGTTTCTCAAATTTTATTTTTAACAGAATGAGAAAAAAATCTTCAATGTATCCGACAGATATAAATAGGAACTTCACAGAGGAAGATATTCAAAAGTTTAAAACAATAAAAAAACTACTCAGCCTCAGAAGTAATTAGGGAAATTTATATTAAAGCTGCAATGTACTATCTAAATACATAGACATGACTGAAAATCAAAACAATTGCTAATGCCAAATACTGATGAGCTTATGGAACTAAAACTCTTAAAATTAACTGGTAGAAATATATTTTCAACCCAATTGAAAACAGCCTTTATTCATGTGAAAATGCACAATTGTTATATGGTAGTGACTTTATTCCTTGCTATAAAGTTAGCAGAAATAAATTTCTATGCTTACCAAAAAATGTGTGTGAATGTTTATAGCAGTATTATTTGTAAAACCTTAAACTGGAAACAACTATGAAATTCATATGATGGCATATTACAAATAAATGATAATAAACAAATGACAGCCATACATAATACAAAATATGGATACCTGAATATGTTTTTCTATGTCTATGTAATATTTCAATTTTTAAAGAAGATTAAAAAGTGAAACCATTAAAAAATAAGGCTTGGTATATAGTTCAGTGGTGCAGTGTCTGCCTGGCAATATGACAATATGAGGCTTAGAGTTTGACTCCTCATGCCTATATATATCCACTCTACAACACTCCAAACTCTAAATTTTGCCTGTATTTATCATAGACCCTATATTTTCTAATGAAATTGTTGAATGTTACAAGTGACTATACAAAAATAAAAGGTGGTCATTTCAATGTATGGACACTGCAGTTAGTGGTCACAGCTAACCCAGTCTTTTCTGTCCTGGAATTTGCACTCACATGGAGGGGAACACTATGATAAAAGATGCATAGATAGAGAGATAGATACAAAGATAGACAGATGAAAAAGGAATAAATAGAGTAGAAAGTCTGGGGAGACTTCTTGGTTAAATTCTATAAGCTGAGAGCCAAATGAATTAAAGCAGTAAAGCATGGGATGAATTAAAAGAATAGGTCCCATGCTGTATTAGTTACTTTTTACTCATCACTGAGACAAAATACCTGAAGCCCAAAGTTGGGAAAGGAAAGGTTTATTTCTTACAGTTTTTGGAGGTTTCAGTCCACACTCAGTTGTCTCCAAGACAGGCAGGCATGGCTGGGCTGCAGTTCATGGCGGCCGCCAACAGCAAACTCAAACCAGCAAAGAGAAAAACACACCTTCTTCCTGCCATTACATCATATCCTGGCCCCACCCCTATGTGGGTGGAGCACTGACACCATCAATCCAAGCACTATACAATGAACCATCACAAATGAACAATGCAAACTCATGAGGCCTGGGGGACACAAACATAAACCATGACACATGCAGAGTGATAAGAAAATCATGATGTAGAAAAAACATTTGGAATGGGAATGTAGTAAGAAGAGAAAACTGGATAAAGAGATAAAAAGACAGAGAAAGGAAGTAGAGGGAGTGAGAATCACGGTGAACCAGGGTTTAAGTGAGATAGCAAAGACTAAAAATAAAGACGCTATTATAAATTAAGTAAGAGACCATGTTCTTTCTGAAATTTCATGTTGCAATAACTACTAGCAAAAGTATAGGGGGAAAGTATTTTTAAACACTAGCATAATTTTACTAATGCAAGTTGGTAATGAAAGATGGTAAAGTGTGTTTGGTACCCTAGTATATGATCTACTATATGTTAACATTTTCTCTAAGTAATTACACATCTCCCTTCCCTAAACCCTCGTGCCAGTTCCCTTCTCCAACGTCAAAAGTCTGTCGCCAGTTGCCTATCATGAGTCGCATTTCTACTTAAGAAAGTTCCAATTAATAAAGCATAATAAATCATCCTCCATAATAGAAATACTGCTAAAACCACAAAGAAACTTGAGGGAAATATATTTCTATTTAGAGCCTTTGATTTGCCATTGTCAGTCAGGTTATAATATATTTAGTAGATAAAAACTGAGTATGAATAGTGTAATACACTGTAAATTTAATGCCATTCTTTTTCTTGACGTTCAAAAATACAGTAGTTGTATAAAAATG